ATTAAATAAACAGGTGTCTGACCAATAAGTGCCCGCATTGAAAAAAAATAAGAGGGATAAAATAAAAAAAAGTGAAAAATAATAAAAAAAAGTTTTTTACTTAAAATAGTACAATAAGCGAGTTCGTTTATTAATTATAACATAAACGTATGTTCTACAATAATGTCACTGTTAGTTTGATTAAATTCCGCTTCTTATACGTTTAAGTTATCTAAAAATAGGCAAAAAATTAACGAATTTTAGTGTGTACCTATCCTTGAATTTTCAGAATAATTAAAAAAAAAATATTTTCTATAAAGGGAGGTTCTTTAAAAAAATGAATGCGGGCATTTATTGGTCAGACACCAATAAACATAAAATAAACTATAAATAAAATAACATAAGCAATAAGTCAATATTTTTAGTGAGAAGGATGAACCTGACGCTTTAATAATAAATTATCAACATTTGGCGTCAATTTTGTAAGGGTTAATCTTAAATCTCCTCGGCTAATGATGTCCAGTCTGTTTCTTTTTTTTCGTTAGGAGATTGGTAACAGCGCTGAACCCCCTTTCCACTAGGTATGACGATGGAAAGGAAGTTAAAAATTTCCTCGCTATATTCCATAATACGGGATAAGTAACGGGTATGTTGTTTTGCAGCCAGAATTGCTGATATCTGTTTTTAAACTGAACCTTAAGTTCTTCGTTTGTACTTAGTTCAGTCAGTTCCTCTTGTATTATGACATTCGTTTCTTCTATGTCACCATATGGATTAATTATCCACGGTGGTATTACCATAGTCAAAATATCCTCAAACCTAGATTCAAAATTCCAATATTTTGCTTCACTAGTTTAACTCTGGCAAGACACGCTGATAAGATGGACTTTGTTTTACTCAAATTTAAACTGTCGCCTTGTAATTGTAAATTAACCATATTAAATTTTGTAAACAAATCTGTTAAAAAGGCGATGTCTGTTTTCCTCTTAATTAAATTTTCTTTTAAAATTTTATCTTTAGTATCCAGAAATTCTAAAATAGTCTCAAAAAGTGCAAAAAATCTGGTCAAACATAAGCCTTTCGACAGCCAGCGTACTTCAGTGTGAAGGAGTAATTGATGAAAGTGTTCGTCATTTTCTTCTAACAACTGCGCAAATAACCGCGTATTCAACGCGTTGCTTCGGATTCGGTTTACTGCATCAATGACTAAATGAAGTGATTCATGCAATCTAACACTCAAATTTTTAGCAACTAAATGTTGTCGATGGATGACGCAATGTATTGCTAACACCCCTGACACATTTTGTTTTAAATAGCTTATAAATCCACGATAACGTCCAACCATGGCAGGTGCTCCATCTGTATCTACTGATATTATATTTGATAACGGAATTGCTTTTTCGATGAAGTAATCCTTCAAAACATGAAATATTGATTCACCTTTAGTGTCGATTATCAAAGTTCTTGCGAAGAGCAGTTCTTCGTAGATTTCTTGATTCATAATAAAACGAACATATGCCAATAATAATGCTGCATTATCAGGTAAAGTTGACTCGTCCAGTTGTATAGAGAAATGGGTCGTTTGCAAATAATTACATAAGAAGCTGTCAATATCAGAACTCATTTCATCAATACGTCTTTCAACAGTATTGTTGCTTAAGGGAATTCTTTTAATGATATCAGATGCAGGTTTGTGTAAAACAGTTTTTAAAACCTCTTCAACGGCTGACAAAATTAACTTCTCTCCGATAGCATGCGGTTTTCCGATTTTGCTATAAATAACGAGATATTGTAAGACGCCCGCAAACCATCATCATTTCTTTGTGACGTCGAAGCGAACATTCTGTCCAGTGTAGGTCTCTTCTGAAATTTATCTTTGAGTGTTTGAAAGTATTTCAAATCTTTCTCTGTTTTATCAGGGTGGCATCTTCTCAGATGAGCTTGCAGTTTAGATGGTTTCATAGCGTCATTGCCCAAAACTTTGTTGCATAAAAGGCACATAGGCGATTGTTTGTCCGGCAATGATGGAATGAAGCCAAATTTCAAATAATCAACACTGTACTGTCTACATTTCTTTTTAGATTCGGACATGGCATCAGTCATTTGTGGGCAAAATTAAATTATTTAAATAAGACAGAAAATCCAGCAGCTGTATATTAAAAATATTTTTTGATTTTTCCGAAAACATTCCATAATTCGAACATCTTCTTGCAACAATTAGCTCGAATTACGGAGATTGCACTGTAATTATATTACCGATTGCTAAAACTTTCAAAAAGAAACTATTGAGGAGTACTCGTGTAATTTTGCATGATTGAATATTTAACTACTAATAACTAAAGTCATGATTGGCGTAATTTATCTATCTTTGCTAACTACGAGTACAAAACTAAAATTTAATAAAAAATAATGTACTTACTTTTCTCCAGCACTCTCAAACAAAATAACACTGACTCACTATAATTTGTGTGATATACTATCTGTTTATATTTTATTAAAATATTTTCTTAGCACTTTCCTTTTCAAGATTCAGGAAACGAATAAACGTATTTGTCCACATTCATGTAAGACTGCGACTCTCAGGTTTTTACAAGTTCAAAATGTATTGCGACCACAAAGCGAATACCAACATCCTACAACTTACACAATTTTATAAACATATATAATACATTTTTTACTTCATAGGTACTTTTATAAATAATGTATATGTTTTGATATTATAAGATAGTATAGTATATTCATTTCATGGACCCCCAAATTTTTTTTCGCTGACGTAGACCCCTTGCAGGTTGTCATAGACCCTTAGGGGTCGATATAGACCACTTTGGGAATCAATGCTCTAAACGATGCACGGTTTTCGAGTTTTTTGACGTTTTTCAAATTTGGAGGAAATTGGTTCCTTCACTCACGGTTTTAAGTCTCGTGATAGCACATGAAGGTTTTTTATCATTCTTACAACATAAGTATTTTTGGATTCATGTGTCATTAAATATAAATTGCCATTTCGGTGCTACAGGTTGAATTGCTTTTTTAAAAAACCATTAAAACTCGGAGAAAAAATTGATTCTTTGACCACAGCTCTGATACAGGCCCGGCATCTTCTTATAAATGAGTGTTTGATTTTGCGCGTGTATCCGGCTTCGTTGATTTCTCTTGCAGCTATTTGAATCCACGCACGAAGCTCTTCCACTGAAGTAATGGGCTTCTTGAAAAAGACCTCCAGTAAAAAAAGTCGAGAGGGTTGAGGCCTGGTAATCTTGGTGGCCACAAAATTGCTCCAAAGCGCCCAATCCACCTTCGGGATACACTTCGTTGAGATACTCTCGCACATTTTGGGCATAATGCGCAGGCCAACCATCGTGATGCAGCCACATTCTCATTCTTTGCTCTAGTTCTAGTGGAACATTTTCAAGTAATGTTGAGATCATTACTTATAAAACTTGAGTAGCTCTCTGCTGTCAACGTCGGTGGTAATTCAAATGGCCCTAAAATTTTTTCGTTTTAAATCCCAGACCAAAGATTTGTTTTGAATTGATATTGGGACCTATCTTCTCTCACTAAATGGGGATTGATGAGCTGCCAACGGTGTAAGCTATGCCTATTTACATATTCATCTTTTGTACAAGTTGATTCGTCACTCTACAATATCTGGTCGAAAAAATCAGGATTGGCTCTTATTCTCTCGCAAATCTTAGTGGATAGTCTCGTGGAAGCAGATTTTGAACTCGTTGGTAGTGATAAGAGTGTAGCTGTTCCCGTTTCAACATTATGTGTACTGTCCTTGTAGAGTTGTCCTGTTCGTCGTGATATGACTCGCACTGACGTTCTTGGATCGGCGGAAATCTCCAACACGGTTTCTCCATCATGTAGCGATGATCTCCCAGAGCTAGTACCGTCGACACCAGTTCCGGGAATGCGGCCATCCGTGTATGCATTATGGCGTGCGTTAGGGTATCTTTCCCGATAAAGTGCTGCGGCTTAATTGGCATTACCACCACACTCACCAAATGAAATGCATTTGAACCTACTCCCTTGGATCGTACTGAAATATTTCCGTTCACAAGATTGGGATATTCACCAGATGGAAGATCTAAATCACTATACAAAACCCCAGCGTGCGGTGGTCTGTCAGTATGTCATCAAACAAAAACAAACGATAAGCTAGGCAAATGTGATTTTTCCATACTTATTATTTGGGCAAATTATTCAGGTCTTGTTTCACTAGGTACCGCAATATTATTGACACCACACGTGGTCAAACTTAAGAGAAAAAAAAATTTTTTCCGAGTTTTAATCATTTTTAAAAAAGCAATTAAACCTGTAGCACGAAAATGGCAATTTATATTTTATGACACGTGTATCCAAGAATACTATGTTGAAAAAGGAGTGAGAAAAAACCTTTCATATGTGTTATCACCAGAATTAAAACAGTGATAGAAAACGTTACAAAAACTGAAAACCGTGCAACTTTTACTAGACAAAATTTTCAATCTTTTGAATCGTTATGATGTCCTCTAACTGCAGGTTAAAGGTCATCAACTCTTTTCGCCACACCCTGTATAGTGGTTTTATAGGTAGGAGGAGTGATGAGGATTAATATTAATATTTCGAACTTCTGTATCTGACCGGACAATAAGTTGCAGCAGCAACCCAGACAATACCCGGGAATCCGTTGCAACCTTAATACCCACCTCTCTTACTAATATAAAATAGGAAATGAAATTTTAAAGGAATCGTTTGAAAATTAGAATATCGTTTACATTGTTCATGTATTCGATTTAAAAAAGTCTACTCATTTCAATTTTCACGTTTTGGCTTCACTGCTTCAGGCAAATTTATAAAATGGCTAAACATAAAACTAAATTTCCATTATACCTACGACAGAAGTACTATCAAATACCATATTTGAAATGGTATGTTGACGCGATGCATTTTGAAACTTTTCTAAATCTTGCCATTCCATCTTCTGCTACGAGAAGCCCACTTTAGAATAATTTTGTATCACTAAACAAATATTTTAGAACAACTTTGAAGACAGCGGAGTCAGCAAACCGAAATATATTCCAAAAGAACCTTCCAAATCGTCCCAAAGTGGGCACTTTCAAACCGTCGAAAATGACAGTGAGGACGATGACATTTTGACAGTCAAACGGAAAGATCACGACATCGATCTGCCCAGCCAAGAGGAGATTGCAGAGTTGGATATGGGTAGAATTAGCAAGAAAAAGGCTCTAAGTAAGGCCGCTATGGCTAAGAAGATTCTTAAGAAGAAGATTGTGCCTAATAAGAAAATTTTATTCAATGAAGAAGGTAAGAGACTATTTCTGAACATATATCTCGAGCTGAATTATTTAACATTCTTTTTCGATTTTGTTTGGCGCATTTCAAAATTCCAAAAGTTGAAAATACTATTGACCCCATGTAGTCTGCCGAGACGCCCTATACAGGGTGATACAATTTTGAGTGTCAAGAAAAAGCGTTATATGTTATGACAATCCGTACAATGTGACGAAGTTATGAGCAAAAATAGAATATTTCAGAATGCTTTCAAACTTTGCTTTTTGATGTTTTTCTAGTTTCTGATCACTTTTGGGCGCAACTGGAAATTAGAATTTTTTATACGGATTAAAATTAAAAAAAAAAACGAAATTAAGACTTCATTTGTCGGCGCTTTTAGACTTTCTGACCACTTCAGGGCGTAATAATTTTTTTTTACATTTTTAAATCGGGCGTACCTCATATTTTCACTTGTCACCAACGCACAGTGTGTTCCTTTATAGGGATCAGGGACAAAATTCGATATCTTAAAAACTAGTGGTCCTATTTGAATTCTGTAAACGCAGGGCGATTACTTATTTAAGTAGCTTTCTAAAGTATGACAAAAATTATTTAAAATAATAAGAAGGGGTGGGGAGCACGGGGATGCATTTCGCATAAATCGTTTTTTTTTTGTAAAAATCAAAATATTAAGTTGATGATCTCGAATAAATTGGGATAAGGTAGGATATTATTATAGCATTCTTAAGAGAGACAAAAAAGTCACGCTTTTATTTTTCAAGATCTTTACCGAATGATTTAAAAGATAATGTAGCCAACTTGTGGCGGGCGCAATATGATTCATTAAATTTGTCTATCTATTTGAAAAAGTAATAAGAATAATTCAAATAAAAAATAAATCTGTATAATTTGAAATTGATATTTAGGTTTTTATTTAAAAAAATATATTTAACAAAATAACAATTGCTTAGTAGTTAATGTATGAAATAATAATATAAACTATATTAAAAAAATAACACCAAATATACCCATTCTAATCGGAATAGGATTTCTTGCTCGGTGCTGTGTCATTCGTTATTGTACTTAAGTCAATACCTAAATCATCATTTTCTTACCTTTTTAAATAGTTCTGAACTGCCTCGTTGCATTTCTTATATTTTTTTGAGCTCACCTTTCTTTTTGAGGATATAAAAGGATCAGAAGTAAGTAAAATAACACGCATGAGATCCTTATTCGTATCTGTTCTTGAACATTTTCTGGTGTGAGATAATCGATGTTTCCTAACCTCTTTATGGCAAGCCTCAAGCGCATCCTCCGACAGTTCTCCAATGGGCAAACAAAATTCATCAATTATCTCACACCCATGAACAAGGACCTTATGCACCGTGTTTGGCATGTTGTACCACTTATAAAGGTGGATATAAGTTGAAAAACGCTAATCTTAGCGACACTTCGCCTTTTTTGTACTTTTACTTAAGTACGAAATAAAGCCCATTTATTATTATTATTATTATTATTATTATTATATACAAATTTCTTGCTTCTTCCAGCAATGACGCAAACTTTTCCAAATCAATAGCGCAACCACTAGCTAACACTCCTAAGATGATCGCAAATTTCTCGATTAATTCCCTGTCAACCCCTGTGATATCTGAACTTGTTTGTGGATTGTGGAAAAAAATTCTGGCCGTATTGCCATCATTTGAGGAGCCATACCCGGGTTTTGGTTTGTCAACTATTAGAGACAGCTTGGCTCTGAACTCTGCTTCTATTCGTTTTTTGTTTGCTTCGACTATAGCTTTGTTTTCAGGCCCACGAACCTGCCAAGATTTAATTGGCAGGCGGTATCCAATATGGAGTAAGCATTCAAAAAAACGAATCCAGCAGTGTAAAGTTGACAAACCAAACCGGTAATTGTCTACGTTAGGAGGACGGTTAATCCCTGTCAACGTGTTCATGTCCTTGGGTGTGGCTCCGCAAATGATGCACTTCATAGTTGAATTTGTCTCTGATAGAACGTTTACAACACTGCCGTCCAACATTGTTAACATCATATCAACTATAATTATATATATCTTTTATTTTAATCTCAATAGGAATCAAATTTTTAATTTTTGTTATTATTTCCTTTTCCGTATTCCGCACTAAATCAGCATTTCCTTTTTAAATAAAAACTTGATCGGCCTACAATATAAAGTAGATGAAGGGCTCTCATTTTTCCACAATACCTTATTCGTTTCCATATCAATCAATCTGAGAGGCGTCATTGCTACAAGAAACAGAAATTCGTCGGTGTTTTCTAAATCAGAAAATTTCTGCTTATATTGGCTATGCCCAGAATGCCATCAAATCCCCACTTGCATATCACTTTAATCCGGCAATCTCTCTCTTCAAAATTTATTATTTCAAGGATACTTTCAGCTGTTTTCTGTAGAAGTTCTTGCAAATCAACTTCTGCAGAAATTTCAGTAATAATAAATTGTGAAGGGAGGATAGCATTTTTTGTTTTCTGTATTTCTTTATAACTAGGAAGGCAGTTTTGGGCCTTACCATTAATAACAGACCTAAGTAGCAAATACTTTCTTACGGATATATCCAAATCTACCATAAGGGCTAAAGCTTCAGCTGTACTAAAACTAAAAATTTGTGGCGAGACCTCACTGTGATTGCTTCCAGAAACGACATTTACAGCAAATTGAAGTTCATTTGCAGATCTGTCTGTGGTTAGTTCGGCTACACGTCTTCGTTTTGTTTTCTTCGATGCCTCTTCAAATGGCACCCGTGGCCGTCCAAATGAGCGACAAGGAGGAAGATGTGTTTTCTTCAGAATCATTATTTATTCTATATATAATATAATATACCTGATTTTGTAAAAGTCGATTCCGAGATTGTCCTACTTTCTGCCATTTATTTGCCATTTTCAACCCAAATAACTGGCTGAATTTCATAATATTACTTTTAAGATGTTTGGAAGGTTCATCTGTTATATCAATAAGAGATAATATCTTTTCATAAACCACCTGTTTTCTATTTCCTCTCGGTGCTTCTATCCACACATCAATCAAATCTCTATTTCTGACAATAGCACCATGTCCTAAAAAAAATATATATCTCCCTTAGACGAGGCATGACGTGATTTAAACTTTTTATCAAAACTTACTGGACAGATAAACAATAAATAAAAAAAATTTAGGGTGATGGGAGGTGATTTTTGTAAAACTCTAAACCAAGTCAAAAGTTTAGAAAAAATTAAAAAATCGGTAATAGTCACTTTAACTTAAAAAATTATCTAATGATAATTATATTTTAAATAAATCTATACATCAATATAATGTACTTACCAGCCTCATTACCAGTCATATTGGAAAAGTTAAAATATTTAAATATTTCGACACAAAATTTATATCTTTCCCGAGCAATAGAACTGAGAGATTTTTCGCCTTCTTGACAGGTCTCGACATGTCTAACTTTAAAGTTGCTAAAATAGGTAAATCGCAGCCAACTTGATTAAAGTACTATACTTACGTGTTGCAGTGACTATTTATCTATCCAATGGTATAATAAAAGCAACAGAATTCTAATGTCAAAAATTATGTTTTTGAGTAATTTTGTCCACTGGGCGCCACACTGTGCAACGCCTAGAATTTTCGCGTAGCTAGATTTTTTTTAGTCCTCAGGAAATACTTCAATCTATGCAACGACGTATTGAATCATTTTGTAGGTGAGGCTGTGACATCTGGAAAAACGAAAAAATCAGAACTTGCTTTGCAGTATGAGAACGAAAACGAAGGAGGAATAGATATAGAAAAGGCAAAACAAGTACTCAAAGAAGAAGATAAATTTGACAAACAGCTTTTCAAGGAAAAGGTGAAAGCCAAGCACAAAGAACAGAAACGAAAATTAAAAGAACAAAAGAAAAAGGAACGCGAAGATAAGGACGATTTTGGTAAGGACCATTTGTTATTTTCCACCAAAGAATTATTCAACACATTCGATCATATTCTGTCGTTGCTTTGTATATAATCTAGAAGTCATAAGCCAAGAATAACGGACTCTGTTTTTGATTAGTAAAGATCTCTTCCAAATTTCAGGCTTGAAGGTAAATATCTTTTCAAATTCCTTAGTCATCTTAAACTTTTATAGGCACCAGTGAAAGTGAGGAAGAGCCCGATTTATCTTGGCTACCTGATCCAGATAAGGTATATAACAATGAAAATGAAGAAATAAATGAAGAGGAAGGCGAAACAGACCGTGAAAGTTCACCGAATAAGAAGCAAAAACTGCGGAACAAAAAGTGAGTTGGAAATTACATTATGAATTTATAAAATTGGAAATAAACATGCTGCTTTCGTCCGTACGACTAAAGAGAGCCAACTAAGGACAGCTGTTTCGTACTTTTTTGGCAACTCATCGGTATGGTCAAGGCTTGGTCTATGGGAAGAATCTAGTTTGAAATCTATCGAAATAAATGCAACAGAGTATAGCAGCTGTCGGTTAAAACTAAAGATCTCAGTTTGCGTTAGATAGCCCAGTCACCATTGAGACCGATATAAACTGACGATTGATTCTACTATAAGTAGAAGCAGTTTAGTCGACATTGAACAGCTAAAGATGTTGCTTTGTCCGGTCGACCAAAGAAAGCCTTTTCGTGTGTTTTGTCAAATCGTTAGCATGGTCTAGGCTTGGTATCTGGGACAACAAACGAAAGCATAGAAATAAGACGGTTCAGAGCGGTATGTATTACTAGAATTGACCATAGCAAGAGTCTATGGCAGCTATCAGTTGAAACTGTAAAGATCTCAGTTCGCTGTCTTATTTCAAACTGCACAATTCATGAATTGTACTTAGGTATAAGTACAAGTAACGCTTCGTTAACGTTATATTCTTTCAGGAAAAATAAAAAGAATACCAATTTTAATGCTGATAGTCCAGAGTCAGGTCCAAAAAGGAAGAGAAAGAAATTGGAAAAATTGACCTTAAACATGGATGTCAATGAGGCAGAAGAGTTAGCGTTAATGTTGTTAAATAAGAAAACTTAAAATCTGTAATAAAATGTTTATTTAACAAATACATAAATCTACGAATCATTGTCTTTTTCATTTATCAACTTCAACCAATCTTTAGGTTTCCTCAGTACCTGGACTAGCTCGTATTCTGGGGTGTTTTCTTCAGGTGTGTGCATATATTCCCACCTCTGAAAAAACATGTATAAAATGAGATTTTTGGGGAAAATATAAAAAGCAATGGGTCATATCTTGGATTGAAAATTGCAAAAGTACCTATATTTTGTTAAGGCAAAGTAAATCATTTCAGATGTTAGATGAATGTCTTTAAATACCAAGCATTACTATCAGTTTCCATAATAATGCATATTTAAATTTAATTATGATGCATGAAATGAAAAAGAGATGGAATAACCCAGGAAATATCCAGGGATTTTTAAGAGGTGACTGTGGTTTCTTGACAGCTGAAAATCAGTTATCTCAAGTCTCGGATTTCTAACTTTCATTCCGCTGAAGGTAAGAATGCATCCATACTTACAGCATATAAAGGTAGAGACATCAATATACTTTCATATCTTGCACCAGGCGTGTAAAGGCCGAACTTTGTTCCTCTATCGTAAATTAAGTTAAACTCCACATATCTACCTCTTCGTAACAACTGCCACTCCCTTTCTACTTCCGTGTATTTTGTAAACTTATGTCTCTGAACTAAAAAAAAGCTGTTATGTACAGAGTGTCCGGCTATAAACTGACCCCTTGAACTTTTTTATATGAAGTTATAGAAGAAAAAGTTATATACAAAAATTATCTGGTCAATTGTGAAGTTTTTCATGTAATGCTTTCGAATAGTTGATTTTTTTTTAAATAGAACACATATATTTTTAGTGAAAACGACAGTCTCTTTTTTGTGATTCCAAATATAAATGGTTTGTGAAACTTATTTTAAGTACTTTAGTAAATTTGAAAAATGTGTCATTTTAATCATGTATTCCGGCTCTATGCCAGATTGCACTGGTCGCTAGTTGCAAACTGGTCCAAACTCAGATAGGTATAAGTAAATGGAGCACAAACTTTAAGTTTTTGGCCAATGAGACTTATCGCGGTACGGTGTGAGAAATATTGTTAGAAGATATAACGTAACTGGTTCAGTTAATATTAAGCCACGATATGTGAAAAAAAGTAATATCACAAATGCCGACCGAAGAGCATTAAGAAGAATAATCGCGAAAAACAGGCGTGCCAATTATTTACAATTAAGTGCTCTGTGGAGTGACGCTGTTGGAAGGAGAATTTCGAGGTCCACAACTCATAGAGAGGCCCACAAACTAGGATTTAGCACTTGCAAGGTAAGTTTTCTTATAAAAAAAGTGAAGTAAAAACCCTAAAGTTGCACAACTTGTTTATAGGCCAAAGAAAAGCCACTATTAACTACACTGCAAAAGAAAAATCGGCTTAGATGGGCAATAGCAATACACAATGGACACCTCAACAATGGTGTGCAATACAATGGAGTGATGAGGCCAGATTCGAAGTTTGTGTTGGTGACAGTCGCAGTAGAGTTATTCGCCAAAAAAAAATGAAGCATGCCATGTTGACTGTCTGAAGAGAAAAGTGAAATTTCCGGCATCCATTATGGTCTGGGGCAGTAGGTCATCAAAAGGAGTAGGAAAACTTCATTTTATTGATGGAAATGTGGATACAAACAAATATTTGGCAATTTTAGAAGAATCGCTTTTACCAGTGATGGAAGAATGTTTGACATCCGGCCAAGATTTTGTGTTTCAGTAAGATGGTGCAGCGTGCCATACCTCAGAAAAGGCTATAAAATGGATGGAAGAAAATAATGTACCACTTTTGAAATGGGTTTCTAGCAGTCCAGATCTGTCACCTATTGAAACTTTGTGGCACGACATGAAAAAGGTTCTACGACATCATCCTGCTCGTACAATCACCGAACTGAGACAAAAGCTTCAAGAAATATGGGATTGTTTTACACCAAATTTTTACCAAAACTTGGTTAACACTATGCCCCAAAGAATTTCAGCCGTAATAAAAAATAAAGGTGATGTTACCCTTTGCGCATTTATTCGCACATTTTTTATTTGTTCAGATGTTCTATTAGTTATAGGTCTAAGTGATTTCAAATATGTATTTTTTACGACTAGAGTGTATCTAAAATATTTTTGAGAAAATAAATTGTTTTAGAAGTAAATAGTTTCGTCATGTTTAGTTTATAAAGGCATATTTTGGTACAAATCTTCAAGTGGGCCAACTGAAGTGGGAAGGGGCTCGTATATATATATAACAAAAAATAGGAAAATAATGGACAAAATCCGCAAAAAGAAGGTATGTAACTACAAAAGTGGATACACATGCCCATACATCCGGATACGGGTATAACCGGCCGCGTGGTTGTGGTTAGATGTCGCCTTGAAAATTCGAGGTCTTCTAGCCATTTTATACTACAATGTGTAGGTTGGCTCTTGTTATGGACTTCGTGTGTGATTTTTTTTCCTCTCCATCTTCGTTTCCTCAGGTTACACTCGTATCCGGATGTACCGCGTCAGATATTTCACAGATATTTAGTGCGTAGTGAAAGTTAACAAAGTTGCATATTTTTCAATTCAAAAATAATTTTTAGCTTTAACAGTGGCGTGCGTACTGGTATTGACATATTTTTTAAGAAAAAATGGTACGCCTATGGTTTTTTGCCAAATAAAAACTATTTTTGAATTCCCCGTTCAATTTAAAACAAATGATCTCTCTTGAATTGTTTTTCTTCGATGCGTCATTTTTCAGGAAAAAAAATAAAAACCGTACTATTGTCCAACTTGCAAAATTATTATCAATTTAATTGGAAAAATTAAACACATTAGGGGTAATGAACAACAACAACTGACAACATAAACATAAGACTAAAACCAACGAAATGATTACAAAAATTTTTGAAAATGGCCCCCTTCACTTAGTATGCATCCTTCCTTCATGGAATTGCGCACTCGTTGAAATATCCCTGGAGTGTTTTTTATTCTATCACAAGCTGCAACTATTCTTTCTCTTAATTCGTCTACCGTGTTAATTGTATACACTAGTGTCTTAAGGTAGCCCCACAAAAAGAAATCTAAACTGTTTAGGGGACCTTGGTGGCCATTCTGGGGGCCCACCGCGGCCAATCCAACGATTTGGATAAGCAGTTTGTAAACAACTACGAACCGCTACACGTTTCTTATTACTAACGGAACATCATCAAGCAGCAAAGTCAACTGTTGTTGAAGAAAATTGAGGTAAGTCTGTCCATCAAGTTATCCCGGCAAGAAGAATGAGCCAATAAAGTGGTTGCCAATAATTCCTGCCCATACGTTAACTGAAAATTGGTGTTGGAAATGGGTTTCGGTTACGGCATAGGGATTTTCTTCTGCCTACAAATGATTATTGTGGAAATTCTGAATGGCATTTCGAGAAAAATTAGCTTCATCCGTGAATAGAATCATTGATTCAAATTGCGGATTTTGTGTAATTCTTTGAAGATACCACTGACAAAAGATCACATGACTTGGAAAATCAATGGGAAGTAATACCTGCACTCTTAAAATATGGTAAGGATATAACAAAAAATCCACTAAAATTCTCCAAATAATTTGATGGCAAAGATTTAAGTAATGTTCTTCGACTTCGTGCAGCACTGCTTCCTCAATTTCAGGTGTTCTCACACTTAGACGTCTACCTTCAGATGTTCCTTTTCGGACAGAACCAGTTCCAACAAGACGACGATGAATATTAGAAAAGGTTCGACTATCTATCAAAGCACGATCGGGATATCTCTGGTGATAAATCCGTGTGGCTTGCTCACCATTACCGTCGGCAAGGCCATATACGTAATGCATTTCCGCCATTTCTGCATTTTAATAATTCATCATTATTAACAAGATTGTAAAAACTAAATAATGAAAAAGATGTCACAGCGAACAGATTTGAAAAACAGAGACTTGTCAGATGTCAAAAGCCAGTGACTTATTCCAGAGCAACTAGATATTTATTGCATTCTTCAATTATTACATTAATTTTCTCGGATTATAGAACGGTTTTATTTTTGAACTCAAAAATGGCGCATTGAAAGAAAACAATTCAAATTGAACGGGGAATTGAAAAATAATTTTCATTTGGCAAAAAACCATTGGCGTACCATTTTTTTCTTAAAAAATATCGAAGTCAATACCCGTACGCACGCCACTGTTAAAGCTAAAAATTATTTTTGCATTGAAAAATATGCAACTTTATTAACTTTCACTACGTACTAAATATCAGTGAAATATCTGAAGCGGTTCTGAAAATATTAATTTCCATTTTTTCCCTAAAACTTCAACACCCAGAGTTTTTGTAAGGAAACATTTTTGGACCATAGTTTATTAAGCAAACTAACATTAATTTTTCATGTAGATTCACATCCTTAAATATCCGCATATCATTAAGGAATATCCTATATATATGTATACACTAAGTGACATATAAATCCGAACACCCAGTTTAAATGGTTTTATTTTAATAAAATTTTGTATAAGTACTTAATGAAGCATAATAAGTAAATGATAAAAATTTCAAAATGATTGCACTGCTTTAAAGCCCTTTGACCTTTAATAATGTGTGGATGCACCCTGATGTGCATTCTCCAACGCGCCTATGCTCTCCATGCTTCTGATCAGGTGGTCAATGTCCTCCTGTGGTATCTCATTCCAGGCAACCATCAACTCCTCTCGAAGTGCTTCTAGAGTCTGAGGAGGACGTTGCAAATTGAGCAATCTCCTACCCATCATATCCCACACGTGCTCAATTGGGGATAAGTCGGGAGATCTTGGTGGCCATGGTAACAATGTGACATCATTATGTTGAAAGAAGTCTATTGTGACTCTTGCAACATGTGGTCGGGCATTATCTTGTTGGAAAGTTGGATCTGCCAGGGTGTCAAGATAGGGTAAAAGATGGGGTTCTAGAACTTCGTGGATATAACGCTGCGCGTTCATGTTACCTCTGATGAAGATTAAAGGTGACCTGGAACCATAAGCTATAGCACCCCAAACCATAACTCCAACAGTGTGATGAACATGTCTTTCAACAAAAAACTATGGATTCCTCCTATCACCACTAACCCTGGCACGACCATCGTGCATGCCTAAACAAAATCGAGACTCGTCACTAAAGACAATACTGCTGAAAATTTTTTCACTTGTTATTTACAGTAAGATAAATACATTCACCAACTTTTATTAAAATAAAACCATTTAAACTGGGTGTTCGGATTTATATGTCACTTAGTATATATACAGGGTGGCCCATCCATGTGTGGAAGGAATATTACTCATAAACAAATACATTTTGGGAAAATCTATTTATGGCATGTTATACATGACATTTGAGGGCACATTTCTGAAATATTGGCCATTATACAGGGTGTCCCAGTTTCGATCTACATATCAAAGTTGTGATTTTTCGAAAAAAACTTACATACCTCCGCTTTTGTCTTATGTGTCACTTTTTCGAATGTTAATTTTTGCACATACAGGGTGGTCAAAAAAACAAGTTGTAGTTTTTCTCAAAATTTTCAAATGTATCACCCTGTATATTTGTGCAAATTTGGATTCAATTTTTCATAAGCTTTTTTTTGATACTAGACACAAGGTTTTTACGGCTATTTTTTCGGTTATTAGCACGTCTTCTATGGAACGGCTTAATTCCTTAAAATATCGCATCATCCTTGGAAACAAATAAATTGTTGATTAGTTACAAACTGTAAAAATTAGCTTTGTGAGCATTATTATTAAAAACGTATTTGAAAATGAATTTTTGAGGGCACATTTCTAAAATGTTGGGAATTATACAGGGTGTCCTAATTTTGACCTACATATCAAAGTTGTGATTTTTTAAATGGAATGCCTCAGATTTTATTGCGTATTTGACATACCAATTCAAAAGAAGAAGATTGATATAACATACTATGAGGTTTTGGTAATTAGCTACTGCGATGTAAGGTGTTTTGTCCAGAAAAACCGCCCACTTCGGCAACCCCTCAATCCGCCATTTCGAAATTTGGAGTAGGCTGAATTTTGTATCAAAAAAAAACTTACACACCTCAGCTTTTTTCTTATTTGTTACTTTTTCGAATTTTCATTTTTGCTCATACAAGGCGAATTGTAGTTTTTCTCAAAAATTTCAAAAGCTTCACCCTGTATATTTGTGCAAGTTTGGATTCAAATTTTTATAAGCTTTTTTTGGTATAAATAAGGTTTGATTCAGCTAAAATCACTAGATTTTGAGATATTAAGCTTTTATTAGAACACACCACCAAAAAATTAAGGAAAAAATCACATCATCCATGGAAACAAAAGACAAACAGTGGGTTAGTTCCATATTGCCACTAAGAGTACAGATTTGACGTAAAAACTAATAACAACCAGAACAGTATTCAGCTTCAAGCGTAATAGAGAAAGACAACTATAACGACAACATAAACAAACAACTACCACAACTCAAGACCTACTCTACAAAAACTGCTCGAAAATATCTCTGCCATTTTGAATACACAGCCGTAGTCTTTGGATAGATGACCGCTGCACATCCCTCAGCTTGTGTTCCCTTATGTTCAGAAAAGCATCCTTAATCCTTTCCTCCAGATTTTCCGGGGTAGATGGTGGATATCTATAAACCTCTTGCTTAACGTAGCCCCATAGAAAGAAGTCTATTGGTGTCATATCTGGTGATCTAGGAGGCCAAGATATAATGCGAGATGCTAGGAAACTATTTCTTTGGGCTTCGTCCAAAACGAACACTATATTCACCATTTCTTCTTTAGAAAAATTAATTTCAAACACATTTTTAATAATAATGATCACAAAGCTGTTTGACAGTTTGTAACTAATCAAAAATTTATTTGTTTCCAATGATGATGCGATATTTTAAGGAATTAAGCCGTTCCATAAAAGACGTACTAATAACCGAAAAAATAGCCGTAAAAACCCTTATGTGGCTAGTATTAAAAATAAGCTTATAAAAAATTGAATCCAAACTTGTACAAATATACAGGGTGATGCATTTGAAATTTTTGAGAAAAACTACAATTTGCGTTTTTGAGCATCCTGTATGAGCAAAAATTAAAATTGGAAAAAGTAACAAATAAGATAAAAGCTGAGGTGTGTAACTTTTTTTTGGTACAAAATTCAGCACTCCATATTTCAAAATGGCGGACTGAGGGGTTTTTCGAGACAAAACACCTTTTATCTCAGTAGCCAATTACTAAAACCTCATAGTATGTTATATTAATTTTCTTCTTTTGAATTGGCTTATGCAAATATGCAATAAAATTTGAGGCATTCTATTTGAAAAATCACAACTTTGATATGTAGGTCGAAATTGGTACACCCTGTATAATAGCCAATATTTTAGAAATGTTCACTCAAATATCATGTATAACATCCCATAAATAGATTTTCCCAAATGTATTTGTTTATGAGTAATATTCCGTCCACACATGGATGGGCCACCCTATATATATACGAGGGATGTCTTTTGAGTTTTGCATATGGAAATGAAAAAACACGGTAGGTAGTTTTAAATGACTTTATTGTTTTTCGAAGTGCTCTCCACGAAGATTAATACACATCTGCATGCACTTGAACCAATTTTCGAAGCACTTATTCCTCTCGTTTGCTGGCAGATCCAAAACGGCATTTTTGAATGCGTCAACTGCTTCTTCTGGTGACTGGAACCTTTGACCACGCAGTCTGTTTTTAATTTTCGGGAAAGTAAAGAAATCGTTAGGACTTAGATCGGGACTATATGGAGGAGGGTCCAATACTTCCACGTTCTGTTCCGTTAAATACTGCCTTGTTTTTTGGGCTGTGTGCGAGCTTGCATTGTCTTGGTGGAGGATGATTTTTCTTTCGGGGTTGATTTTTCGAAGCTCGGTGATGACTTTTGGCAAACAAATGGTGGTATACCAGTCCGCAGTAACAGTTCTTTGCTCATTAAGAGGAATTGTTACAATATGACCCGCTTTTGACACAAATGTCGCGACCATCTTTTTCGAAACCCTTCGAGAACGGATGACTTTTGTTGGCTTTTCTTCACCTTGGAACACCCAAACAGCCGACTGTCGTTTATTTTCTGGTTTATAACAGTAAATCCACGATTCATCACCACTAACAATGCTGGACACATTTTTTGAGTTTTCGGAATTGAAACGGTCAAGCGTTTTTTGACACCAATTACCTCTGGCTCCTTTATGCTCTTCAGTCAACAGGTGGGGTATCCAACGAGAAACTAATTTTCTTACTCCTAATTCTTCGTGTAAAATTTTTTGAATTGAGGTCTTTGAGATCTTCAAGGACGCCTCAATCTCGCGATATGACACATGTCTATTTTCAATGATGAGTTTGCGCACAGCATCGACGTTTTCCTGGGTGACTGCCGTTTTTGGTGCACCCACCCTGGAATCGTCGCTAAGACTCACCCGTCCTCGTTTGAATTCTCCATACCAACGGGAAATTGTCGACTGATGTGGCGCTTCGTTGCCGAAAACAGACAGTAACTCAGCAAGGCTTTCTTGTTGCGATAATTGCCTCTGAAAGTTGTAATAAATTATGGCGCGAAAATGTTCTCGGTTGAGTTCCATTTTTCTAATGACGGTGACACCTAAAAATTCACTGTATGAGAACACTGCACGTATTGTTGTGAAACTTTGAATTTAGGTTTACTAAAGAGAGAGGTTAAGATTCAGTACTGACGTTCGATCCGCACGGCCTACTATACAGGGTTATCCAAATTAAGTGTCCACCATTAGTAACTTTGTTATTAGTGAAAATACAAAGTTGTTTGAATTAGCAAACTAGTAGCATTTTTAACGCTGGTAAAAATGAGAAATAAAAAAAACAATTGAGAGTCGTTATTTTGATTTTTTTCAGTAAAATAACATTTTTTTAAATGGAAACCCCTGTATATTATATTTTTTTCTGTTAAAGCATCAAATTTTAAACAAAAAGCTTACAATAACTTTTCTCCTAGGTTACAAATTGTTGAAGTTATGGCCTCCAATCTGAAACAATTAAATTGTATCGACAAACTTTATTTTCAACATCAACTTATAATCTTACAAAATACAATAACAATTTTTTTTAAAGAAGATGCTCGAAAACACCACCTTGTTCTTCAATACATTTTTGGGCACGTTTTTCAACTGCTCGAACTGTCTTAAGTATGGTCCTACCATCTATCTGGGTTATCTTTTCCCTAACTGCAGTCTTTAACGCGTCAAGGTTATCGTACCTTCGCTTGTAAATTTGGTTCTTTAAGTAACCCCACAAGAAGTAATCAAGTGGGTTTAGATCTGGTGATCTGGGAGGCCACTGTATTGGGCCATTTGTTCCTATCCACTGATCATTAAAAGTAGTACTTAGAAAATGATAAATGCAGATGATGTCTACTTATAAGATCCAATTCGTCTAAGAAATTAGTCAGAATTTCTGACATAAATTCCACATATCTTTCACCAGTTAGGGTTCCCTCATAAAAGAACGGGCCAACAATTTTTGAACCAATTATACCGCACCAAACGTTGAAACTGAAACGGACTTGTGGGCCTCTTGGATGTACTAACAAAAGATTTTCTCTTGACCAATAATGGTGGTTTTTTCTATTAAACATTCCAGAATTTGAAAAATTTGATTCATCTGTCCATAAAAGGTAACGAAAGTTATTTACATTTTGGCGACAGAAGCTAAGATACCAATGGCAAAAACAAGTCTTCTCTCTGGATCCCCTGCCAAAAGCGTTTGAACTGGTCGGTACTTATACGGAATAAATTTGTATTTTTTTAAAATCCTTTGAACAGTACCATAACTGAAATTAGAGTCCTTGAGAATATCTGCTATTGAATTCTCACGATAAGCTTCAAAATATCCAATAACTGCAATTTCCGTGGCCTCGCTTATTATGAATTCTTTTTTGGCCTTGTTTTAGCAAAAACATTTTCGTTGCCCCTAAATTTTCGATAAAGTCTCAGAAAATATCGTTCATACGGTTGAATGCGAGCGGGATATAATTCACTGTAGTACTCTTGCTCTCAAGGAGGATTTTCTGCACACTAAATAGCATTCTAACATATCACACTTTTCTTCATGGGAGAACATTTTTCTTTAAATTAATGACACAATAAAGCTTATAAACAAGTATTTACACTAATGTTTGACATTATTTGATTTTATCATTGTTTTCCAAAGCCTTCTAGTTGCGAGTATGTCCAGTTTAACAATTTGTCGCTTATCTTAATGCTGTCAAATCGCGAACGCCATGTTGTTTTCATAGCCGTCTTAATATTATAATACTGCAAATAATTAAAAATATTTATCGTTATTTTGACTTTAGCGGAAAAGTCATTATGAACTTTTTTGTTTAAAATTTGATGCTTTAACAGAAAAAAATATAATATACATTGGTTTCCATTTAAAAAAATGTTATTTTACTGAAAAAAATCAAAATAACGACTCTCAATTGTTTTTTTTATTTCTCACTTTTACCAGCGTTAAAAATGCTACTAGTTTGCTAATTTAAACAACTTTGTATTTTTACTAATAACAAAGTTACCAATGGTGGACACTTAATTTGGATAACCCTGTATTTCTATATGCAAAACTTAAAAGACATCCCTTTATGAAACACTTCACATTAGACCATATAACTCTTATATAAAACTTTTTCTTCTAGAATGGCATATAAAAAAGTTAGAGGGCGGGGAGGATCACTTTATAGCATCTACAAATGACATGAAAATTCGAGTTATGCAAAAAGATCTTGGATGGCAAACAAAAATAGTAATAATTATATATTGCAGCCGCGAAGACAGAATCTTTGAGTACCGAGGTAAAAAGCATTTGTTCCGCTTTCTGAACAGAAGAAGGTTTGTAGAACTACAGCCATGCCGTTTCCGAATTACTGTTGGAGCTTATTAATTTAAAGATTAAACATATTTTTTTGTGTACAATTGATAGCCTACCTAGTGGAATATAAGAAGGTATCACAGCGTTTGCGCAATCTTTCACAAACTCAAAACAAGCAGTTTGATTAGGGGAATCTAAATCATCGAAAAATATACCTCCTACTCCTCTTCTTTCTCCTCTGTGAGGTATGTTGAAGTAATCATCACACCATTTTTTAAACCTAAAAAATCAAGTATAATTATTTATGGGCCAGATTTCTTCTTGCCAAATGAGCAAATGGGTGAATCCATGCAGATTTAAATGTACTTTGGACGTTACTTAAGGGAGACCCAACTCATGTAATATATATAATACAAACCAGGCATATTTCTACCTTAAGTTACGCTAAATCCAGATTTAAGATAAGTATGTATAAATCCTCAATGTCTCCTCCTGTACCACCTTTTACCTACAGGGCCCCAGAGCACAGGAAGTTCGGAGCCTCTAGCTAAAGGCAGAAGCGGGTCTAAGATGACGCACTGAGCGTCGAACCTCTGGACTCAAGGGTGCTCTAGACCGCGATTTATGGGAGACCTTGAGTAGACAATTTATGTTCCCAATGATGATGCTCCAGCATACGACCTTCCACTATTCAACCATCACCAGCGGAAGCGCCGTACGAACTTTCTGCTTTGGGCTCCCAAAATCCTAGATCAGTTACTGGCTGAAGGAGCTCTAGAGCAAAACTACAATGGGGACCTGCTTTGCCGTTGGGGAAAACTGAAGGGCGGTAGGGGTACTCAGACCAGTGGCGTAGCGTGCATTTTTGCCGCCCGGGGCTGATCGCAAATTTACCGCCGCTCTCTATCTTAAGTATCAGTTTAGAAAATTAGTAAAAGTCAAATGACTAAAAATGGAATTTTCGTGTTTTTTCATAGCAAAATGTTTTATAGAATCCTCAACATCTGTACCTCGGAGCCAGACTAAATCAAATCCAAATTTTTCAATTTTTGGGTTTAATAGGCTAAGCAACATATGTATGCACACTCTCTTATTTGCTATTTTCAGATTTGCCATATCTTTGAAAGCAAATAAATTAGCTGCTTTTAAATCGGGTTAAGTCTTAAGGCTGCTTAGAGCAAAACAAGGTTATGTTACTCAGTCATAGTTTGGCGCGCATATATACCCTATTTCACGAGTATCCATCACGCTTTCACGTCTACTCAGGTAAACAGCTGATCAGCAAGTGACATTTTTGTGTTAGACTGCAACGTTGGCAATAAAGAATCGGGTACAAATCTAGTAAAACTTGTTTGTGGCGTTTTGCTTTTTGTATTCAAATGAACTTTTCTAAATAAAAGAGCTGTTAGCAAGTACAAAATGAATCTGTAGCGTAAACAAACCAAAACAAAATACGGCTCAATATGTGCCCTGTGCCGATATGGGGAATTTTGAGATATTACCAGATAATTGGCAGTCATCTACTGTGAAATAGGGTATAAGTTGCATTTGTGGTAACATGCGTTACATATTTATATACACTGATAACCAAATTTGTCTGACGGCCTGACTTCAATGTGTACGAGAGAGACTTGTTAGAAAGAGATAGCGAAGCTCATCACCACGTTGTCTAGCAACACTGACGCGGCAATCTGCCACGTTACCAATGTGTTACACCAATTCCTTGAATTAAAATGCATGTTGAAAATATGCGTTAGTATATTATCTACGCATAAATAATGGTTTTATTTTGAGCGTACACACTTTTGAATTGTGGCTAATCCATGTGCCACTGCCTCTCTCCCCACGTTGCGCTACTGACGCAGGCATTTCTTTTTGAAATTCCCCTTGATTTTTGGGCATTTGGGGGTCACCCACCAAGTCCACGCTCTAGGCACAAACCCCATTTGTCCATAGGGTGAAGACGAGATAGTTTACCTAGGATAGTAACTGTTGTCATGCTTATCACAGGCATCCTTCAAGGTTCTGTGGAAGTGTACAGCGTCAGCCGAGTTCAGGTAGTACGGCGTTAAGTCGGTACCACCTCCAAACCACCACTGGGTTTCTTTTCCATCTTCCACTTCAAAATATCGATAGTTGAAGTGAATTGTCGGCACCAATGGGTTTGATGGATGGATCACAGCGCTGATACCAGCAGCAAAGAAAGGTAGGTTTCCATCTATTTGAAAAAAAATGTGTTAAAATAATTCTACATATGAAGGTTGAAAGAAGCAGCTTTAACATTGGTGCTGATTTGAATATGCACTTGCTTCCCATATACATATGTGACATTTATTTTATGTATGTCCAATAATATCCATGTCATTCACATTCGTAGATGTCTGTCTTTTTGCGTTTTGTCACCATGTAATGTTTCAAGTAGTTCAGATTTTTTTACACCGAAGCAGCAGCGCAGGCAGAAGCCTAAATGACAAGGCACCGCGGCGGCTATGAGGAGTTTAAAGAAACTTAGTTGATCCGATTTTTGAACTGCCTAAGACATCAAACATGCCACGTGTACATTTTTTGAGCAGATAACTTCTATATTTTGTTAGACTAAATTCATCTGTCAAATGAGTATGTATTACCATGGATTAACGTATACTTCCTGATGGCAGCCTACCTAAAATGCTATATTTCCGGGTCCAAAAGATTATTCGAGATAAAATGAGATACTGTAGTACCATAAATATATGAAATTTTGTCACATTTAATATGTATACTTTGTAAACGTTAGTGTTTCACCTTTGAGACACTCATTATACATATATATATATATATATATATATATATATATATATAGTAGTAAATAGAAAAATAGCTGTAATAAATTCTCATAGATGACGCTAAATCGCATTTTATCTCTGTTAATTTTTTGGACGCCGGAATATAGCATTAGGTTAGCTATCTTCAGGTAGAATATGTAAATCAATGGTATTACCAACATTTTTACGTAATGATAAGCTGATTTCGACAAATATCTTAAAAGTGACACAAAGTACAACAAAGAGGTAGATATACCAAGTATACCTTATGATGTTTGAGAATTCCAACACTCTCGCCTGATGGGAATAAAGATTGTGCTATTATTATCTCAGCTTTAATGCTGTTTTAGCAAAAAAGCTAAATAGGGTAGTCAAATCATATTTTCTTTAGCTTCACCTGATAAATTTTTGCCCCTAGATCTCATCTGTGCAACAGCAGCTTTTGGCAATGTTCCTGACACCACAGAAATGTTGACACCTGCCTTTTCAAAGACTTTGCCTTCTTGAAGGACACATGTTATTCCACCACCTCCTTCCTTACGTTCCCACCTACATCATATACAAAATATTCTGCACAGCACATTATCACAAAAAATGGAAGGGAGATTCAGCATGTTAGATTTTATAAACATGGGTCTGTAAATGCTTCATTATTATAATACAAGATGGTTGAACTTTATGTTTTGCAAACAATTGTATACAGGGTTATCCAAATTAAGTGTCCACCATTGGTAACTTTGTTATTAGTAAAAATACAAAGTTGTTTAAATTAGCAAACTAGTAGCATTTTTAACGCTGGTAAAAATGAGAAATAAAAAAAAAACAATTGAGAGTCGTTATTTTGATTTTTTTCAGTAAAATAACATTTTTTTAAATGGAAACCCCTGTATATTATATTTTTTCTGTTAAAGCATCAAATTTTAAACAAAAAAGTTCATAATGACTTTTCCGCTAAAGTCAAAAATAAAGTCAAAATAACGATAAATATTTTTAATTATTTGCAGTATTATAATATTAAGACGGCTATGAAAACAACATGGCGTTCGCGATTTGACAGCATTAAGATAAGCGACAAATTGTTAAACTGGACATACTCGCAACTAGAAGGCTTTGGAAAACAATGATAAAATCAAATAATGTCAAACATTAGTGTAAATACTTGTTTATAAGCTTTATTGTGTCATTAATTTAAAGAAAAATGTTCTCCCATGAAGAAAAGTGTGATATGTTAGAATGCTATTTAGTGTGCAGAAAATCCTCCTTGAGAGCAAGAGAATACTACAGTGAATTATATCCCGCTCGCATTCAACCGTATGAACGATATTTTCTGAGACTTTATCGAAAATTTAGGGGCAAAGAAAATGTTTTTGCTAAAACAAGGGCAAAAAAAGAATTCATAATAAGCGAGGCCACGGAAATTGCAGTTATTGGATATTTTGAAGCTTATCGTGAGAATTCAATAGCAGATATTCTCAAGGACTCTAATTTCAGTTATGGTACTGTTCAAAGGATTTTAAAAAAATACAAATTTATTCCGTATAAGTACCGACCAGTTCAAACGCTTTTGGCAGGGGATCCAGAGAGCAGACTTGTTTTTTGCCATTGGTATCTTAGCTTCTGTCGCCAAAATGTAAATAACTTTCGTTACCTTTTATGGACAGATGAATCAAATTTTTCAAATTCTGGAATGTTTAATAGAAAAAACCACCATTATTGGTCAAGAGAAAATCTTTTGTTAGTACATCCAAGAGGCCCACAAGTCCGTTTCAGTTTCAACGTTTGGTGCGGTATAATTGGTTCAAAAATTGTTGGCCCGTTCTTTTATGAGGGAACCCTAACTGGTGAAAGATATGTGGAATTTATGTCAGAAATTCTGACTAATTTCTTAGACGAATTGGATCTTATAAGTAGACATCATCTGCATTTTCAGCAAGATGGCGCACCTGCCCACAACTCCAGAGGTACTTATCATTTTCTAAGTACTACTTTTAATGATCAGTGGATAGGAACAAATGGCCCAATACAGTGGCCTCCCAGATCACCAGATCTAAACCCACTTGATTACTTCTTGTGGGGTTACTTAAAGAACCAAATTTACAAGTGAAGGTACGATAACCTTGACGCGTTAAAGACTGCAGTTAGGGAAAAGATAACCCAGATAGATGGTAGGACCATACTTAAGACAGTTCGAGCAGTTGAAAAACGTGCCCAAAAATGTATTGAAGAACAAGGTGGTGTTTTCGAGCATTTTAAAAAAAATTGTTATTGTATTTTGTAAGATTATAAGTTGATGTTGAAAATAAAGTTTGTCGATACAATTTAATTGTTTCAGATTGGAGGCCATAACTTCAACAATTTGTAACCTAGGAGAAAAGTTATTGTAAGCTTTTTTGTTTAAAATTTGATGCTTTAACAGAAAAAAATATAATATACAGGGGTTTCCATTTAAAAAAATGTTATTTTACTGAAAAAAATCAAAATAACGACTCTCAATTGTTTTTTTTTATTTCTCATTTTTACCAGCGTTAAAAATGCTACTAGTTTGCTAATTCAAACAACTTTGTATTTTCACTAATAACAAAGTTACTAATGGTGGACACTTAATTTGGATAACCCTGTATACTATTGGGTTTTGCAAAAGTGACATTTTGTCAAAGCCATATTGATTCTGCTTGCTGTCTCATAGAGTTGTTCATTGTTTGTTGAAAGAAAGTAACATACCGATTACTCTATTTCTTAATCAGAGTAAACAGATTTGAATGTTGGTCAATAAAACAATTTTCAGTTTGGGAACAACGCAGCTGAATATTTAAACTTCCAAATACAACAGGCTTAACTAACATGTCAAGGACCAAATCTGCTAGACAATTATATAAAAATGACTTTGAGACTAATTTTTTCTGTCCCTGGTTGGTGAGGTAAAACATTATTTCTTTTGTATTTTTGGAAATAAAGCTTATTGATTGATAGATTTAAGATAATGACATTGTTTTGCAAAAATCAGTTGTATGGTTTTTCTGAACATAATCTTGCTAGCATGAATGCCACTGCTGTATGTGCTTTAAGAAACAATTATTTTGTATATGTTGATGTAACCCTTGATAATACAGCTCTATGAAGCAAAATTCGTCCCATTATTTTGATCCTATATATTTATATGGACTTTTTTATATTCTCACATGGTGCATGTGCCCTTCAATTTATTGAAAATATTCTGTAGTGGAATTTCAATAATAACACTTCGTACCTACCTGTCAACAAGAAACTTGAACTCAGAATCTTCTTCCTTTTCTAAAGCTCTACAGAAATCTTTCTGCACTTTCATAATCATAAGTTCCATTTTTGCCTTCATTGAATTTGGATTTTTTCGGAGTTTATCCCAAGGCGTAATCGGGTCTGCCATGAATTCTTTTGTCTCCACTTTGGTTGAAAAGAGTGCCATGGCTCCTACGAATACCGAACCGTATGTTCTGGAAAAAAGGTCAATTATAGCTTTTATAATAATGTTATAAGTTAAAGAAACGTTTCACAAAACTAAACAGCAATCTTATTTGTTTGACTTATGGCCAATATCAATATTTAAATAAAAACCGCCTTATCATTATCTTGGTACCTAAATACGTATGCTTACCTGAGGTTTTTGAACTCTCTAGATTTGGAATTGTGATATAATACGATCATAATATTCTTTCTTATAATTTTAAACACCATTCTGGCTTATATAATGAATAACGTAAATAATAAATACAATTTTCTATCAAAAATAATATCGGAGCAGTGAATGATTCTTTAGGTTAAGTAAGTGAGGTTATAACATCCCATAATCCAACCACAGCCGACGTCAACTACGAGCACAGCCGACGTCGCGACGTCAACTACGAGCCGTGATGAAAGAAAGGCAACACCGCGCTCGGACGGCATGGTAGTGCTACCTGTGAACGTCGGCCGCCAGCGGCTGTGTGCTCCGTCTCCGTGTAACGTTCAAGAACTAAATTTAATTTTGGAATAGAGGACAGTTCGATTCGATACAAATCGTCTGAATATGAAATAGCTCTAAAAAATTTAAAAATACGAAATAATCGTGATATATATGAGTCGCTAATGCAGTTTAAAAGTATTTTGTTTACGTTTTTTGGTGTCAGCACACTGTGTTCCAACAGGCCCAGCTTGGAAATGTGGAGTTACCTGTTTGTTTTTAATACATTTACTTTAAGTTTTACTGTTATTTTTCAATTTTACATAATCATTCAAAATTATGTTTGAAAAAATAGACAAAAGCTTAGATAAAATATCTGCATAATTGCGGCCACAGATACAAGTTAAAGAAAATTCACTGTATATAAAGTCAGACTGAATGCTGAGCAAGGTTAACTGACACAAAATAAATTTTTGATTATTGCTTTTCAAGAAGAAAATTTCCAAGCTATCTACATTAATAATAGATTTAAAAATGGAATACATATGGTAGAATGATTGGTACATAACTGGTTAGAATTGACAGTCCTCCTCTTTGCAAATGATCAAAATAAACATTTGTTGTTAATGAACCTTTTTCTTTAACTATTAGCGATTTGCATATCTCGCAGTTTAGGTTTTTAGAGATAGTGTGTGAAGCATATCCAGATATATAAGTGTTAGTACTACTCCTCTATGTCACAATTGGCTAAGTAATTTGTCTCAAATACTTCATTGAATATATCCAAAACTTCAGGATTTTGTTTGGTATCCAAGAAATCAAAATTTTCTTGAGTTTCTAAGCAGTATTGGAACCTTGTTTCAATTTCTGCTAAAGAAAATGACGATTTCTTTTCATTGAAAATATGCTTCAGCCGTATTTTCTTTTCAGCATTTAAAATTTCATCATATGACACATTGTAATTGCAGCCACATAAAAGTCTATAATTGCCAAATCGTTTTTCTAAATTATCAGTGGTGAATTTTCCAGGCAATACATACTCAATGTCAAATTGATTAAATGAATATTCAATTATATTAAGTAGAGTCAGTGTGCTTTGATATTTTCTAACCATATCAGGATTTTTTTTAAAAATTGTACCCTATAAGTAATCATATTTATTGGTAATAGGCTTACAAAATTCGTTTCGCTTCAATTCTCCTTTTATTACACTTGTATTACTGACAATATCCCACCAATTCCTGATTATTTCCAAAAAGTGTGCAGCATCATTAAACTTTAATTCTTTCATAGCAGCTATTGTTGAGTGATGGAATAAATTATCTACAAAATTTACATTTTGCCTTTCAAATGAATTTGGATGCCATGTTTTATAATTTAATTTATATGCTTTCTTAACTACAGCTTCTTTTTCCAATTGATATACAGCACGAATGTTTTCAAATTTAGCATACTGAATAATATCATTATTGTCAAAATTAGGATATACAAAAGTTTTGTCTAGGTTTTTTAAATTAATCCAATTATTTCTGATACTCGTGAAAATATGCACAACATCATAAGTTAAATATATGTTCTTATCAGGATTATGTGGATTTGGAATAGAATAATTTTCTGATGAATCCTTTGCTAATTTCCTGAACATTGCTCTATTAATTCGGTGATTATCAGTAACAACACAAATAACTTCAAATCCACATTTTTGAACTAAATTTATCACATGTTCAACCAAAGGTGTCATTTCATCACCTGTTAGATTTGAAACTGGTAGTAATTTGATAATTTCTGTTATGTTTCCAAATGCTGAAGATAGCATGAAGGCTAAAACAGTTTTAGCCATGTCATTTTTATTTGAGGCATACCCAACAATGTTTTGTGAGCGATAGTCCAGCCTAGATGTTATATAAATTTCATCGATCATCAAAATTACAATTTTTTCTCTTGGAGCTAATTTAATTGCTATATTCGACAGGTAGTGTTCATTATTCCTATCATTTTTTGGAGATATATCCATACTTGAGGAGATATGTTGTAAGTATCGCTTACTTAGGAAAATAAAAAATCTTTTAATTAAATTATATGTTGATGATGAGTGGTTATAAAACGTAAAAGCCATTGTTATTAAAAGTGATGCATATCTGTTTTTCCTGTTTTGAATTTGTCTCAGCTGATCAGCAATAATCTCTAGATTTTTTGTATATGGAAACATAACTGAGTCATTATTAATTATGGAAATCACTGTGTCAAGTTGTTCCAGTGCATTCATGATGCAAAGTTCAACAGAGTTTTTGTGTTGGTTCTCAGAAAAATAGAAAAAATACCTATTTAGCAGGTTTTCTAATTGGGACCATCTGGTAATTTTGAGATCATATGGCAAAACCCACTTCAAGTCACTAAAAGAAAGCTTGCATCCTTTATGAACAACCTGAACTTCCATCTGACCATCAACTATAATCTGTGTATTCAAAGTTAAGATATCATTTTCAAAATCCAATTTATAAAAATATAACTTTCCATCAGATAATTTAATATTCCATTTCTGTGAGGCTTTAATTTTTGAAAATGAAGAATGTAATTCTTGAAAGTCTTTGATCTTATCCATATCATCGAAATTCTGGATAGCTTTTTCATGTTTCTCAATTAGTTTTTGTTTTCTTTGCATTGGGTCCGTTCTTTTGGGTACTTCAGTTTTTGAAAGATATGATGGCAAGTTTGGGAAAATGGAGGGAACAGCATTTTCTTTCAATTTTGGATATTTCAAAGGTATATTATCTTGGACTGTTCCATCCGCCAAAACTATATTTTCTGTCCTGATGATATCCGATTCTCTAAAATGACGACTGCACACAGCTGAATATTTTGAAGGTGTCCAATTTTTTCTGGGAATTGCCATAAGCCATTTGTTTTTCAGACTTTCGGTACTTGGGAAGCGAAAAGTTGAAACATAGCTTTCTGTTTTCAAAGCAGAATTATAGTTTGCATTGCATTAAGGAACACAGCAACAACGAGGCATATTGTCTGCGTCAAATACTTGATAAATGAAAAAAGAAAAATACAACCTGAATTTGCACGTTTTCAATAGTTGAAATCCTTAGCGTCCTGAGGCGCGAACAGCCACAGTCACACTTCTTAGTTTATTTTTAAAGCACAGAAGCACTACAACTGGAGTCTATTTCTCATATATTATAGTCACCGATCACTTTGAACACATACACACACTTTGAAGCTTAGAAAACAAGCTTATCTCTTAATTACAGCCTCTGGGATTCCCAAATCACAAATTGAAAAGGTTATGTTTTCTCAGCCTTTTGAGCACGAGTTGCGTCGATGCAGCAAGCAGCGGCGGGAGTAACACTACCACCTACGTTGCCAGATTTCTTTGTTCACGGCTCGTAGTGGACGTCGGCTGTGATCCAACGTTCAAAGATCCGTGTACTTCTACTAAGTAGAAAATGAAACTGAATATATCTAAAATTAAAAACTGTTTTTAAATATTCTAAAAATGCACAGGTACTGGAATAATTTAGGTAATAAATCGTTTGGTGTTTTATCAAAATTTTCTATGTTGCTGGTAGATAAAGTACCTATCTAGATTATCTTGACGATATAATCTTTGTTAATGAACTCTTCGTTTGTGTTGTTGCTTATCACATTTAAAAAAAATAAATTCAAATCAAACAGGTTGCTCCCGTTATCAAATTCAACACTGCCATGTGCCGATACTTGCACAGTTTCCTGATAATAAGGATATAATGTACAGGGTGTCCCAGAGGATTTTCAAATTAAATCAATCAAATATTTGAGGAAAAATGCTTTTATTTGAGAACGGAGCGCCAGATGTGTGAATTCCAGTGTTTACATATTACGCCATGCAGATATGCTCTTCGCGTTGATGCATCCACTATCGCATACTTGTTCACCGCCCCCTCCTCCTTGAGAGTCCGATTAAACATTTGCATTTTTAGCATGATCTTGTGTACAACATTGAAGATTGTTAGAATTTGCCCGTCTCTGAGAAATTTTGCTGCTCCCCGCTCGTCAAGACGTTTTGAGGCAGATACACTTTCACAAAATGTTATCTCTTGCCCACGATTGTCTCCCCTACTGAGAAAAATTCCTGCGTACACAAAATGTTGTCTGAGCCTTTCGCGTTTTAAAAGAAAATGACACTTGATTATTTTTTTGTGATATATTTCAGGGCCACTGCGATCACCATCAGATTTGACACTACTTGAACCTGCTTTGCTTGAATATGTAATGCAAAATGCGATGCAAAGGCTTCATGAATGCGTGTAATAATGAAACGGAGGACCTACTCCGAGAATTCCTGGTTTCGGTTATTATCTTACTTGAGCTTTTATGCCAAAGATATTTTTGTATCACCGTGGCTTTGCTCAGTTCTAGCACGTCTGTCATATGTTATTTAATCAACGTTGCCAGAGCCAACATTGAAAATTCCGCTACTGGTATCGAAAAACTCCGCTACTTTCCGCTACCCCGGGAATTATCGTCGGGCGGAGGGGGCGCACTAAGACAGGGGGCATTTATTATAAAGACTGTGTCAAAAAAGGAAAACAAAAACCAAACAGCGTGATAAAATATAACATAAAACTGTAATAAAAAAAACATTTGGCTATAAAAACCAATGCAATATTACAAATAACTATCAAACAACAGAACATTTATTACACAGTCATATTAAAAAAATATCACAGGAAACTAAAAAATAAAAAGGTTGTGACTAAAGGCCATTTCTGTCTTGCATAAAAAATTGCAGTTTTTGAGTTACTTAAACTTAGTCACTGTCTGTATCAAATTCTTCTTGTTGTATTTCTGTTCTCTCTATACTATATAAATTATTTTTGTGTTTTTTAAAATGTTTTTCACCAAACTCGAAGTCTAAGCAGCAACATTTTTTTGTACTGTATCCAGTTTAATAATTATCGCGATCAAAAGTTAAAGATAAAATACGATTTCTTATCTTTGTTTTGATTATCTCCATATATCAGAATGTTCACTCGACATCTGCACTACCATGTGGCAAAAGTT